GGTTCAATATTCTCATATCAATCAATGTGATAAACCACATTAATAAAAGAAAGGATAAGAACCATATGGTCCTTTCAATAGATGCAGAAAAAGCATTTGACAAAGTACAACATCCATTCATGGAAAAAATCCTCAACAAAGTAGGTTTAGAGGGAACATACCTCAACATAATAAGGCCATACATAGAAAACCCAAGGTGAACATCATCTTCAATGGGGGAAAAACTCAGAGCTTTCCTCCTAAGGTCAGGAACAAGACAAGGATGCCCACTCTTACCACTTTTATTTAACTTATTACTGGAAGTCCTAGTCACATCACTCAGACAAGGAAAAGTAATAGAAATCATTCAAATTGGTAGGAAAGAAGTAAAACTTTCACTATTTACAAATGACACAATACTCTAAACAGAAAACCATATAGATTGTACCAAAAAAACTGCTAGGATTGATAAATACAGTGAAGTTACAGGATAAAAAATCGATGTATAGAAATCTGTTGCATTTCTATACATTAATAGGCTGCAGACAGAGAAATTAAAGAAATAATCCCATTTATAATTGTACCAAAAAAATAAAAATACCAAGGAATGAACTTAACCAAGAGGTGAAAGACCTGTACTCTGAACACTATAAAACACTGATGAAAGAAATTGAAGAGGACACAAACAATTGGAAAGATATTCCATGCTCATGGATTGAAAGAACGTGTATTGCTAAAATGTCTATACTACCCAAAGCAATCTACAGATTTAATGCAACCCCTATCAAAATACCAAAAGTTTTCACAGCACTAGAATAAACCAAAAAACACTAGAACAAACCAAAAAATTTAAATGGAACCACAAAAGACCCTGAACAGTCAAAGCAATCTTGAAAACAAACAAACAAAGCTGGAAGTAACACAATTTCAAATTTCAAGTTGTATTACAAAGCTGTAGTATCAAAAACAGTATGGTAACAGCAAAAAATAGATACAAAGATCAATGAAATATAATATAAAGTCAATACTATAAAGCTCCTTCAACAAAGGAGGCAAGAATATGCAATGGGGAAAAAACAGTCTCTTGAACAATTGTTGTTGAGAAAACTGGACAGCTACATGAAAAAGAATGAAACTGAGCCACTTTTTTATACCATACACAAAAATAAACTCAAAATGTGTTTAGTCATAGATGTGAGAACTGAAAATAAAAATCCTACAAGAAAGCACAGGCAGTAATCTCTCTGACATTGGCCATAAGAACTTATTTCTACATATGTCTCCTAAGGCAAGGGAAGCAAAAGCAAACTATTGAGACTACATCAAAATAAAGTTTCTACACAGCAAAGGAAACAATCAACAAAACTAAAAGACAACCTACTGAGTGGCAAATGACTTATCCAGTGAAGCATTAGTATCCAAAATATATAAATAACTTGTAAACTCAATACTCCAAAAATTAACAATCCAATTAAAAAATGGGCAGAAGACATAAATGGACATTTTTCCAAAGAAAACATACAGGTGGCCAACAGACACATGAAAAGATGCTCAACATTATCAGGGAAATGCAAATCAAAACCACAATGAGATATCACCTCACACTTATCAGAATAGCTAAAATTTAAAAATATAAGAAAAAATAACCACAAGAAACAAGTGTTTATGAGGATGTGGAGAATAGGGAACCTTTGTGCACTGTTGATGGGAATGAAAATTGGTGTAGTCACTGTGAAAGTCAGTATGCAGTTTCCTCAAAAAATTAAAAAAAGAACTAGCATACAATCTGGTAATGATACTACGGAGTATTTACCCAAATAATATGAGAACACTAATTCAAAAGGATATATGCACCCCAATGTTTATTGCAGCACTATTTACAATAGCCATAGTATGGAAGCAGCCCAAATGTCCATGGATAGATGAATGGATAAACAGTATGTGTTATATATATACAATGAAGTATTATTCAGCCATAAAAAAAGAATGAAATCTTGCTATTTGCAACAACATGGATGGATCTAGGAAGTATAATTCTTAGTAAAATAAGTCAGTCAGAGAAAGACAAATACATTTGATTTCACTCATATGTGGAATTTAAGAAATAAATGAACAAAGGGGGTAAAAAGAGACAAATCAAGAAACTATAGAGAACTAACTAATGGTTTAAGAGGGAAGGTGGGGGAGGGGAGGGGTGAAATAGGTGATGAGGGTTAATGAGTGCACTTGTCATGATGAGCAGAGAGTGATGTAAGGAAGTGTTGAATCACTATATTGTATATCTGAAACCAATATAACAGTATATGTTAACTATAATGGAATTAAACAGAAAAACTTAATTAAAAAACCATTCACTTAGCCAGCAATTGTATGTCAGGAAGTTTATTTTCAACTAGCAATAATGAAACAAATTTTTATCTGTGAAGATATTCAACACAGCATTAATTATGATAACAAAGAATAGGAAGCAACCTATATGCCCAACAAAAGTAAAATAGTGATATATCCACATGTTGTAGGTATAAACATATCCTATTTTGAAAGAATAACTAATGACCTGATAAGATGTTCCAATATATGTTGAAAAATGAAAGGTAAGACACAATGAGATTAAAAATTTTTTTAACAAATATCTATGTATCAAGAGAGGAAGAGAAAATGGAAGAAAACACGAAATTTTGATTAGTGGTTATTTCTGGGTAGCAAAATTATGAGTTACTTTTATATTTTATTCCTTTACCTTTACATTTCCCTTTGGATATATATTCATATAGTCATTAAAAATGGGATTTTTTATTAAGAAAAATTTATATTTATTTATTTTGATAGAGAGAGACAGGGCACAAGTGGGGAGGGACAGAGAGAGAGGGAGACATAGAATCTGAAGCAGGCTCCAGGCTCAGAGCTGTCAGCACAGAGCCCGATGTAGGGCTCAAACTCACAAACCTCAAGATCATGAGCTGAGCCAAAGTTGGATGCTTAACTGCCTGAGCCACCTAGGCACCCCCCCAAAATAGTAATTTTTTTAATAAAGTGGGAAGTCAACATTTTGCACTGTGTATCATAGGTAGCCACCTTTTGTGAAAGAAATTTTGAAATTAGGTAGATAAAAGTCCATTTAATACATTTGTAACTTCAAACCAAGAATTTTATGCAAATATGGGCTGAACAATTAGATGACCATTTATGAGAAAACTGCTCTGATTTCTGAGCAGCAAGGACCTGACAAGAAGAATGATCAGAGGTGGAACCAGACAGAAATAAGATGTGGCTCTTGAACATTACTAACCAGAGAGATATTTTTTCTCCATCTAAGAAGGTGGATGCCATTGTTAAGGCCACTAGCTAAAGAGGTTTTGGAAGAGAAACTGACAGTCTTGCCCCTGTCTTTCTGAGGCTCCCAAGCTACTAAATATTATCCTAGCTTTCACCACTGTAACTCTGCACACAAGGGGCACATATTGGAAAGTTCAGTGTGCAATACATCACCTGCTGGAGCTAAACCCTGGGCTCTATGCATGATCTGAGTGGCTGCACACCAACGTTTTAGTCAAGCAGATGTCCTTATTATTATTTCAAAGTTACACTGGAGAAAATATCAGACCAGGGTGTACTGTTGCCCTAAAAATCCTTTAATCTTTTATGATATTAATACCAGCCCTCTCAAGCCTACTTGTGAGACCAACCAGTGTTGTTAAATGGCCATCAGAGTCCCTATATTGAGTTCAGCCATGGTTGTCAGCAGGTAGAGGGCCAGGGTATCACATGCCTGGCTCACAAAGGAGACCAGGGACATTTGAATGACAGCTTTGTTTAAGTGATAGGATTATTTCTTTTATGCTTAGCAGAGGAAGATGAACTCTAACAGGAAGATGGTGGTCAAGTGATAAGTTTCTGATCCCATCTCTTAGTAGTGGGGGCAACAATGTTCCAGAGTCCTCCTGAGAGTAGAGTACATTCGGTATCCCCACAGCTCATTGTCCAGCCTCGTCCCTCCATCCCATGCCCAAGTCTTCCAGGAGTTTTGATTAACTAATTTTAGTGTCTGAGTAAAACTGTCAAGAATTACTAGTCACTCAAACAGAAATGGCCAGTATAAGTCTGCCAAAAGTCAGCATTATGCACAGAAATTGATGTTGGTTCTTACCAAGGTATGACAGTGGAGTTTTATCCCAGGCCCAGCCCAGCCAAGTAGGGCCCTGCAGAAGCCCAAGGTCACAGTCTCCATAGGCTTCAGGTCACTCTGCCTCTCAGGCAGAGCTACTGTTTCAAATCTTAAGCAGGGCTGGTTCTGAGAACCTTCACTGTGCATACATGAGCTGTGAGCTTACAATCCAAGAACGTCAACAGAAATCTTGTTCAACACCAAATGTCAGTTCATTTTAGCAGCACCATTTTTTGGAGCTGCCAATGGCAATTCTGCCCATTCACCTACTTTCAAAGTGCAGTGATGCCATATGAAAACAGGCACGCAGGGAGTTAGGACTCCAGCATGGGCCCTGCTCCTTTGGAGCAACTTTTCCTTTGTAGGAGCAAGCATTGGCTGTTTTTCCTCAACCAGGGCTTCATCTCTGTGCTGCCCTCCTGATAGGTGTCCACACATGAATGCATGTTGCCAGGCTGCCTCTGTCTGCAATATTCCTGGGTCCTTTCAAGTACAAGATTTTTCACTGGGCAATCTGGTAGGAGGTCTACAGATTCTCATTATGCAGCCCATCATTGATAGTCAACGCACAATTCCCAGTTGGAATTTTCAAGAGAACAACATAAAATACCCAGGAATCCCACAACCATTTACTGACCCTAGGGTCATGTAATCATGCTCTGGGTTATGAAGCTAATCTCAGCAATAAATTTTTAATGTGTGTTTTCTTTTAGCTAAGCCCACCTAACACTAACATCTCTCTAATTGCTAAAAACATGCTTATCCTAGTGGTTAACAGTACATATTGCTATTTTTTTTTTAATTAAGTGAGCTTCGGGATCAAATAAACAGAAATTTAAAATGAGCTTTAAAGTACCTGAAAAATTCCATGAAAGAGAATCCATATCCATGCTGCTCAGCAATTCCTGCACAAACTACATTTGACGATGCTCCAATCAGTGTCCCATTACCTGGAATCAAAATTTTTAAAGTAAAATAAAATTTCAGTTTATCTTAGTAGTAGGTTTCTATTACTTTTTGTTCTGCAATATTCAGATCATCTCACAGGCTTTTGATTTGATGATTACTTTACAGGTACTATCAAAGTGATTGCTTTGCAAATATCTGCAGAAAACAAACAAAACACTGACAACCAGAAAATAAGTTTACTGCTTATAAATACTGAAATTCATTTACAGATAGGACTATGACAGTTCTATGTGATAGAAAAGAGGAAATGTTAAGGAGAATTGGCAAATCACTGTGGGACGTGGTGGCATTTATTTACATTTTAAAGGAAAATGTAAGACAGACTAACAACTCTAGGAGAGAACAGGTGTCTTCAGAGCAGTAGAATGGGATCTCAGATAAGAACCACCCTCCTAAATCCAAGAGGCACAGACAACTCCCTTCAGACATAACTTGAATCAAACTTCCGCACAACATATCATAGTGAAACTGGCAAAATACAAGGATAAAGAGAAAATTCTGAAAGCAGCTAGGGATAAACGTGCTCTACATATAAAGGGGGACCTATAAGACTCGTGATGGATCTCTCTACTGAAACTTGGCAGGCCAGAAAGGAATGGCAGGAAATCTTCAACGTGATGAACAGAAAAAATATGCAGCCGAGAATCTACTCCAGCTTAAGTCGTCATTATCAGAATAGGAGAGATAAAGATCTTCCCAAACAAACAAAAACTGAAGGAATTCGTCACCACTAAACCAGCCCTACAAGAGATCTTAAGAGGATCCTGAGAACACCAGAGACATCGCTACAAGCATGAAACCTACAGACATCACAATGACTCGAAACCCATATCTTTCAATAATAACATTGAAGGTAAATGGACTAAATGCTCCAACCAAAAGACATAGGGTAACAGAATGGATAAAAAAACAAGACACATCTATTTGCTGTCTACAAGAGACTCATTTTCGACCTGAGGACACCTTCAGATTGAAAGTGAGGGGATGGAGAACTATCTATCATGCTACTGGAAGTCAAAAGAAAGCTGGAGTAGCCATACTTATATCAGACAAACCAGACTTTAAATTAAAGTCTGTAACAAGAGATGAAGAAGGGCATTATATAATAATTACAGGGTCTATCCATCAGGAAGAGCTAACAATTATAAATGTCTATGTGCTGAATACGGGAGCCCCCAAATATATAAAACAATTAATCACAAACATAAGCAACCTTACTGATAAGAATGTGGTTATTGCAGGGGAATTTACACTCCACTTACAGAAATGGATAGATCATCTAGACACATGGTCAATAAAGAAACAAGGGCCCTGAATGATACATTGGATCAGATGCACTTGACAGATATATTTAGAACTCTGCATCCCAAAGCAAAAGAATATACTTTCTTCTTGAGTACACATGGAACATTCTCCAAAATAGATCACATACTGGGTCACAAAACATCCATTAATAGGTATAAAAGACTTGAGATCATACCATGCACACTTTCAGAACACAATGCTATGAAACTTGAAATCAACCACAGGAAAAAGTCTGGAAAACCTCCAAAAGCATGGAGGTTAAAGAACACCCTACTAAAGAATGAATGGGTCAATCAGGCAATCAGAGAAGAAATTTAAAAATATAAGGAAACAAACAAAAATGAAAATACAACAATCGAAACACTTTGGGATGCAGCAAAGGCAGTCCTGAGAGGAAAATACATTGTAATCCAGGCCTATCTCAAAAAACAAGAAAAATCCCAAATACAAAATCTAACAGCACACCTAACAGAAATAGAAGCAGAACAGCAAAGACAGCCTAAACCCAGCAGAAGAAGAGACACAATAAAGATCAGTGCAGAAATAAACAATATAGAATCTAAAAAAAAGGTAGAGCAGAT